GTTAGTCCAGAGCCCTTTCACTTATCCGGCCCCTCCCCCTGTTCCTCCTCCCAGCCAGCCAGCCAGGTCCTGTTCACCAGAGGCAGTTCCCCAAGGATCTGATTACACTTGCAGCCCCACTGCGTGTCCTATATCCCGAATGATGAACACCCTCTCTGTCATTCATCTAAGCCCCAGTGCTGTGGTGGGGTGATCTGGGAACCAACAGTTTAATTTTTCCGGACCCCTTTGGTGGGCACGCCCCCAGAAACTGGCGGCTAAGATCTTGGGTGTCGCCGCTAGTGTTAAGGGGAGGTGGGGATCTGGAATCCCCTCTGCTTCCCTACAGACACGCCCCTGGAGAGATTCCCGAGGTTTCCTGGCTGCTTGTATCTGGAGGGGGTGGGAGTCACACACCTGCTAACGTGGATTCCGCTGGGAAGGAATTCTGTCGGCGGAACTTTGGTGATGTCACCTCTCTGCTATGGAGGCCTCCAGGCTCCTTGCCGGAGTGTCCGAAGGGAGGGGTGGGACTGGTCTGTCTCTGGTTGGTTTCAGCTCCCAGTTCGCTATTTCATGAAGGCTTGGCGAGAGACCTCTTCCTAGAGTCCCTGCACTGCTCCTGCTGCGCTGTGCCTCGGAGGCTATCTGCCCTGACTCGGGGGCCGGTGCAGGCAGCCGACAGTCACCGAGTCGGCGCGGGCAGCGGCTGGCGGGTCTGGACCTCTGCACTGCGTGGCAGAGATTCACTCGTCTAGCGCAAACTGTCACCTCCAAAAATCCTACCGATTCCTGGCCGGTCTCTCTTTAGTGGAATTTTGCTAGGAGTTTCTCAGCAGGTCGAATCTAAGCGTATCCATGCGTCTCTCTGACCCCGTTGTTGAGGAGGTACTGAAAGCGCTGCCTCCCCTCTCGCTGCCATGTTGGATCCCCCCTTCTAGATTTAATAATGTTAGTTTTATATAATTGGGTGTTCTGTCATTCAATGCATATATATTTACAATTGTTATTTTTGCTTATGGAATTTACCACTGTACCATTATATAGCCACTTGTCCTTTGTCTCTTTTTACAATTTTTGACTTAAGGTCTACTTTATCTGATACATGTAAGCTCACTGTTGGTTTGTATTAGCCTCTATGTGTCTTTACCAGTGAGGTGAGTTAATTGTAGGTAGTGAATCATTAGGTCATGTTTTTATTAATTCACATTTAATACAGCTAGTTTAAATATTTTAATTGGGGATATTAATCTATTTATTTTCAAGATTATTACTGACAGGAAAGGACTTTGTGATTTTGGTGATTTTTCTTTTCTGGTTGTTGTGGTGGTTGTTTTATTATTATTATTTTTAATTCTTTGTTCTGTCTTCCTCTCTTATTGTTCAATTTTGTGATTTGGTAGGTTTTTGTATTGATATTGCCTGATTTTTTCTGTTTCTCTTTTGAGTTTCTGTTTTTCTGAATTATACTTTTGCATGTTCATGATGATGGCTATTATCCTTTGTCTCTTGATGTTGGATTTTTTGAAGCATTTCTTCTAAGGCAGTCTGGTGGTGAGTCGATCCCTCAGCTTTTGCTTGTGCTGTAAAGTCCTTATATATCCTTCATTCTGGAAGTCAGCTTTGCTGTGTATAGTTTTCTGTTAAGAAGTGTTTTGTTTTTGAGGATTTTCAATATATCATGACATTCTTTTCTGATATGTAAGGTCTTTTCCAAGAAATGTGCTAGTCTAATGGGGATTCCCTTATGTGTGCTGTTTTCTCATTTGAGTTTTTAATTTGGTTTATTTAAAGGATACACATAGAAAAAGAAGAACTCAAATTGAGACTATATGCTGATGACATGATTCTATACCTAGAAGACCCTAAAAGTTTCACCAGAAAACTTCTAGAACTAGTAAATAAATTCAGCAAAGTAACAGGATATAAAATCAACAACATAAATCAAAGGCATTTTTGTATATTAGTGACAAATCTTCTGAAAGGGAAATGAGGAAAACTACCCTTTTTACAATAGCCTCAAAAAGAAATAAAATACTTGGAAATCAACTTAATAAAAGAGGTAAAAGATCTATATAATGAAAATTATAGAATCCTAAAGAAAGAAGTCAAAGAAGACCTTAGAAGATGGAAAGATGTACCTTGCTCTTGGATAGGCAGAATTAATATTAAAATGACCATACTAAAACAAGCACTACACAGATTTAATGCAAACTTATCAAAATCCCAAATGGCATACCTCATAGAAAGAGAAAAAGCTGTCATGAAGTTTATCTGGAAAAATAAGAGACCCAGAATAGTGAAAGCAATTCTTAGCAGGAAGAGTGAAACAGGTGGCATCACTATATCAGACCTTAAACTATACTACAGACAATATTAACATAAACAGCATGGTACTGGCACCAAAACGGACTGGTAGACCAATGGTAGAGAATAGAGGACACAGAGACTAACCCATAAAATTACAATTATCTTATATCAGACAAGGGCGCCAAAAACATGCATTGGAGAAAAAGACAGCCTCTTCAACAAATGGTGCTGGGAAAACTGGAGATCCATATGCAACAAAGTGAAATTAAACCCCTATCTCTCAGCATACACAAAACTCAACTCAAAATGGGTCAAGGACTTAGGAATAAAATCAGAGACCCTGCATCTAATAGAAGAAAAAGTAGGCCCTAAATTCAATGTAGGATTAGGCCCCAACTTCCTTAATAAGACTCCTCTAGTGCAAAAATTAAAACCAAGAATCAATAAATGGGATGGACTCAAACTAAAAAGTTTCTTCTCAGAAAAAGCAACAATCTGTGAGGTGAATAGAGAGCCTACATCTTGGGAGCAAATCTTTACTCCCCACACATCAGATAGAGCACTAATCTCTAGGTTATATAAATAACTCAAAAATCTGACCACCAAAAAGACAAATAACCCAATCAATAAATGGGCCAAGGACCTGAAGAGACACTTCTCAGAAGATGAGGTACAATCAGTCAACAAACACATGAAAAAATGTTCATAATCACTTGCAATTAGAGAAATGCAAATCAAAACCACTCTAAGATTTCATCTCACTCCAGTCAGAATGGCAGCTATTATGAAGACAAATAACAATAAGTGTTGGTGAAGATGTGGGGAAAAAGGTACACTCATACATTGCTGGTGGGGCTGCAAATTGGTGCAGCCAATATGGAAAGCAGTATGGAGATTTCTTGGAAAATTGGATGGAACCACCATTTGACCCATCTATCCCTCTCCTTGGTCTATACCCAAAGGACCTAAAAACAGCATACTACAGGGATACAGCCACATCAATGTTTATAGCAGCACAATTCACAACAGCTAAGCTGTGGAACCAACCTAGATGCCCTTCCATAGATGAATGGATTAAAAAATGTTGCAAATATACATAATGAAATATTACTCAGCAATAAAAGAGAATAAAATCATGCCATATGCAGGTAAATGGATGGATTTAGAGAGGATAATTTTAAGTGAACTCAGAGAATCCCAAAATAACAAATGCCAAATGTTTTCTCTGATGCAAGGAGACTGATTCATAGAGGAGTAGGGAGGGGGAGCATGGGAGGAATAGATGAACTCTAGATAGGGAAGAGGGTGGGAAGCAAGGGAGGGGGCATAGGGAATATGATGGGCATTATTATCCAAAGTACATGTATAGAGACACAAATTGGTGTGAATATACTTTCTTATACAACCAGAGATATGAAAAATTGTGCTGTATATGTGTACTATGAATTGTAATGAATTCCACTGTCATATATAAGTAAAAAACAATTTAAAAATAAATAAAAATAAAAACAAAAAAAAATAAAGGTATTGTGTCCATCACAACTAAAAAAATTTAACAAACTCCGATATAATGGTTATGCAGTTTCCGGATATTTTATTTATCATATAAAAGCTTCAAAGAAATTAGTTAAAATGTGCTCAAATAACATGCTTAAGGAATAAAAGTAAGATAGTGACTTATGAAAATTCCTGTAAAGATGTAGGTATTCTAAAATATAGCCATATGAAAATTTGGGAGTTGAAATAGAAAATAACTGCTGCATAAATTGATTAAAGTTCACAGCAGCACATTTGATTTGGCTGAAAAAAGAATTGATGTATGTGAACATAGAATAATTCAGGTTATGAAACAGGAAGAATGGGAAAAAAGAATTAAATAAAAATGAATAGAGAGATAAAACAGACACAGGCATCATCGTGGAAGAGACTGACAGTTGAATGCTTTCCATAAAGTTCAGGGTACAGGAATGTCAACTCTCATAACTTCTGTTTGAAAATGAATGCCCCCAGTGATCTGCTTCTTCCAGCCAAACCCTATCTGCTTAAGTTACCACCCAGTAGCCACTATTAATCCATCAAATGATTTAACTCACTGATTAGTTTTGAGCACTCATAAGCTAATCATAACCCCTCTGAACACTCCTGCGTTACCTAACATATGAATTTATCTTGCACCCAAACCACATCACCTTACTGCATTATTTTACTTGGGATGCTTTTCATGATCTCTGTCAATCAAGACTTAGTACTAAACAAACCAAAAATTTCCTCTCACCATCTCTCCTAGAAAAATCAAACACTTCAATGAGTATTGCAAACTACATGTTCTCTAAAAAAAATCACAAAGCATGTAGCAGAGTTACTCTGGTTTGTTTTCAGAGTATTTGCAGATCAATGTCCAATATTAACTGCAGTTCATTGCCCACAACAAGAATTTTCACAAAGTATATCATTAACAGATTTAACTAGAAGGCACCTCAGCAAAATCTCTCTTTCAGTGATTCAAAGAAAACAGCCACCCAAATAACCTGAGGATGACTAGGGGATATTAGCTTTGTGGACTTGCCACAGAGGTGAAGAGGGGATGATGACACTGGTCAGGGTCAATACCCTTTGCTGTGTCACAGTGAGAGAGGATAGAACACATTGTTCTTTGAACTCATTTAGATACAACCACTTTGCCTTCAGTTGGTGAGGGTCATTCAGCCACCATGGCCTTTCAGGACCTCCTGGATCAAGTTGGTAGTCTGGGGAGGTTCCAGATAATTCAGATGGCTTTTCTTCCTATCTACAATGCCATGGCACAGACTCATACTTTATTGGAGAATTTCACTGCAGTCATCCTTGGTCATCGCTGCTGGGTCCATATACTCGATAATGCCACTGTCTCTGACAATGACACTGGGACCCTCAGCCAAGAAGCCCTCCTGAGGATCTCCATCCCACTAGACTCAAACCTGAGACCAGACAAATGTCATCGCTTCATCCACCCACAATGGCAGCTCCTTCATATGAATGGAACCTTCTCAAACATGAGTGAGGTGGACACGGAGCCCTGCATGGATGGCTGGGTATATGACCGGAGCTCGTTCCTCTCCACCACCGTGACTGAGGTAAAAGGCTTAATTTTCCACTCATAAGTAATTGACCTGGGTGTGTGGAAACAATGAAAATAATGAACATGCTTTGAGCGTTTAATTGCTGTGTGGGTGTTGATTCTTCTTCTTCTTCTTTTTTTTTTCAGAAACTACTGATTTTTTTTATGCAATTCAGGGCACATACTTAGTGTAATGATAAAAAACAAATAGGAGCCTACTGTCATGGCACTTTGATTAAAGCAAGTAAGTCATGTGTCTTGTTAAAATTGTGATATTTAGCCAGTAACACACTGTCTTGATTGTCAATTGGATATGGACGTGGGTTGATCAAAACCTGCATACCCAGACTGAACTCCTATCATATGAGAAGATTTGCAGTAAAAATTTCAGAGTCCTTGAATGATGGTGGACTGTGGCCAAATTAGAGGACTTCTTAGTTAAAAGTGATCATTAATGTAACCCACAGGTGTAAGATAGTCTTCCTAGATAAACATTTATTAAACTGAGGAATGGATGGTAGAATTCAAGTGTTTTTGAAAAGGGAAGCTGTTGAAGAAGAAAGGGACCTATTATTAAGAAAACTGCAGGTCTGTGAAGGTGTTTTTTTATGCTGGTTTCCTTGTCTTCCAGTGGGACCTGGTATGTGAATCGCAGTCACTGAATTCAGTGTCTAAGTTCTTCTTCATGGCTGGAATGTTGGTTGGAAACATTGTATATGGCACTTTGTCAGACAGGTGAGTGTCTCTGGTTCACAGATCTCTCTACCCCTGGGTACTATAATCAGCTTATGAATCATTTATGCATATGAAAAAATTATTACAAATTACACTGCCTGGGTGTACCTTTGTTCTCAGGGATCTACAAACACAAATGTAAAATGTTACTCAGTGCGGTAAGTGCTGTTTTAAACAGACTGAATCCTGTGTGTAGGAAATCAGTATAAGATTTGGAGGTGCTTTACCAGAGAATTTGGAGAGAACATGCCACAACATGGGGTTTGAAAGATCACAAACAGTTAACAATGGGGACACAGAGGTGGATATGTTACCACATTGGATCCAACCTGCTTGAATATGCAGGTAGGAAAAAGACATTGTCAGTGTCACTCAGGGGCATCATGAAAATAAAATCTCAGTAGGTAAACTCAAAGGACTTCACTATGCTACATTATCCTAAAAATGTTTAAAAGAGTGAAGTCCCAATGAAGCAAGAAAAAGTGCTTTTTCACATAAAATGGATCTTCAATGGAATATTGGGTGATTTTTCTTCAGAATACATGGAAGCATCCCAACCTTTGCTTCTCAATAAGGGTCATTATAGTATGTTGCCTATGCATCTATAAATTCATGTTTTACAAAATGAGACAGTTGGGTTTATGGATCTTAATTTTCATGTAACATAAATGTGTTGTTTCCTTTTCTTCTTTTGTGTACTTACCACTCGGTTTTGGGGATACATACACATTCCTAATTGTACTTTTAGTTCACATTTCTAATTGCTACATAGTGCTCCACAGTAGAAATCCATAACAGTGTTCCTGAGCCACCTTTGGGAAATGGGCAATCAGATTACCACCCAATGCTCACCCTCCCAAACCTAAGAAAAGGTCAACTTTATATTCTCTTTGGCTGTGATAAATACATGTTATATTTTTACAAAAATATTTTGTTTCCCAAGGTCAACAAATCCAAAATCAGCAGATTGGGACTCTTATCCAACCCATCAGCAACATTGATGTTCTGCTTCATAGCTGTTCCTATTACATCATGTTAGCCATAACCTGTGCAGTTCTAGAGTCTCAAGGGCTGACTTTAATATTTTATACACAACGTTGACTCTCCACTATGATAAGTGTATGGCTCAGTGCAAGAAATATTTATGAGGTATTAATATTTCTAACACTGCAGCATGTCTTGTATAGCTTGAATTGGTGTTGAACTACTGGTAACAATTCAAGAAGTAGTTGTGAGGTCAAGCTATCTATTTTAAAAGAAGGAGAGTTGATTTGAGACTATCAGCTGTTGGTCCTTTATGGATATTTCATAGGTGTGAAGTGCTTTCTTTGTGCTAATTTTTACCACAGTTGTTATTGTTCCCACAATCTCATCTTACCCTTTTCCATAGATTTGGGAGGAGGTTACTTCTGACATGGTGTCTTCTCCAGCTGGCCGTTGCTGACACCTGTGCTACCTTTGCTCCCACCTTCCTGGTGTACTGTTCACTACGCTTCCTGGCTGGCATGTCCACCACGACCATCCTGACAAATGCTATTCTTCTCAGTAAGTCAGCACTGACTCTTGGACATTTATTGACCTTTGACTTTGACCTTGATATTCTACCTTTGCTTGAAGTAATTATTCAGCGATGTTTTCTTTCAGTTGTAGAATGGACAAGTCCCAAATACCAAGCTATGGGAACAACAATGGCAGTGTGTGCTGCTAGTTTCGGGAATATCCTACCGGGAAGCCTGGCTTTTGCTATTTGAAACTGGCATACTCTTCAGCTGGTTCTGTCTATACCGATGTTCTTCTTTTTTATTTCCTCAAGGTATGAGCTCCCTTTTGTCTTTCCCTTCTAAAACCATGGTATGGTAATGTACATGGCATCAGGACATAAAAATTTATTTCTTCTTGGTTCTACATGAGGATGTGCTCTCAGAACAAGTGTCTTGGTACAATTTGAGAAGCAGGGCAAGTAGGATGGTCAGATGAAATTGAGGACATTGAAAATCTTTCAATTCATGATAACTAGTAAATATTTTTTGTGAAATATTATCCCAAGCTTTGCAAGTGATATACTGAAAATTATTTACTGTTTATGTGAATTTCTCTTTAACTGTTATATACTGTTTTTACTAATAGGTAAAATATAAGATATACTATTATATTTACATCATAGATAAGGAACAAATAATGTTTTAGGCATGGGATTCAGTTTTTAAAATATGATACACTATTTGGAATTTAAGTCAACTATGCTTACTCTAGTTATATTTACTAAAACAAGAACCACGAAAACAAAATAGCAATGAATCCTTACCTGAAGTTCTGAGTCTTTCAGCTTATCCTTGATGTAAGCCTCATTTTGTAATGTGTGGAAAGAATTATTGCAAACATTTTTCTTTGGACATTGGTAACTCAGAAGGATCCAGAATGTCAGAGTAGGTCCTCAAGAATTTGCAGTGACAAACTGAAGTAGGTGAAGGATGGGAAAGAGCAGGGAGCAACTTAGTGTATCAATAACCAGGAGAAAACAAAAATGAGTAGTTTTCAGGACAGAAAGAGAAATAATAAAGGCAGTGGAAGAGTCAGGAATGTAATCACTCAGTGGCAAGAAGGGAAGCATTTCTCAAGAAGCCAAAAGTCTTTCTACCACCTAGCTCAAGAAAAACAGACACTGACCAATATATCCACAATCAGAACAGATAATAAATTCAGGAAAGCTGAGCTGTGTTTACTCAGGAGAATGTTTTAGATGTGTCTGGCTGGAGAGTGAACCACCACTCCCCGAAAAGGTCTTGGAGCCTTCCAGCAGAGGTGTTTGGATCAGGGAAGCCCTGACAGCTTAAAGGAACTTGTTAATTATCCTTCCTGATTCCCCAATTGGGAGTTCCTGAATTTTATCCTTGTTTTTAAGATAGCATTTTCTGTTTTATTTGTCTTCTTTCTCCCTCTTTTTTCTTCATTTTTGTCTTTCACTTGGTACACATGCATTTTGAATATCTGTGAGTGTCCATACTGAGAGCTGATTTGGGCAACAAAGAGAGAATACTCTTTTATGAGAATACAGTGTGGGGTTAAACTCAGAGTGACTAGTCAATCAGTCTGCAGAGTGGAGAAGAACGAAGAGGACTTCCCTTTGAAATTGACAGTATAATCTCTGAATGAAAAGTGTGACTGATGGGAGGGACTGGAATAGATTAAGATGAGACATAAAGTCCCATAACTTCAAGCCTAGGAGAGGCTGGATGATAGAGTGATGTTTGTACACACCTTTTCCTAGCACATGTGCAGTAACTCTTGGAAAGAGGGATGTAATTTATTTCAGGTCAGTCTATAGACAAAGCAAGTGGAGGAGCTGGTCAGGAGACCTGGCAGACCTACATTCCCACCTGCAGACACAACAACAAAACCATTTGGAGAGTGAAAACACTCTAACCCTTCCACGACCCCTCAGCAAGGGGGCCAAGCAAGGAGCTAGCTGAATTCAGCATACAGACTAACCTAACAAGTTTGGCAGGTTAGCTCAGTCCTGAAAACTACAAAGGGTGTGAAGTCTGTATAATAGAGATTTTCTTTTTAAAAAATTTATTGGATTTTTAGTTATATATGACATTAAAATCCAGTTTGATGTAATTATGCTAGCATGGGATATATCTTATTCTATTTAGGATTCTATTCTAGTGTATGTACATGATGGTGGGATTCACTGTGATGTTTTCATATAGGTACAGGGAAAATTATGTCAGGTCTATCCAATGTCTTTCCTCTTTCTATCTGCCTTGCTTTCCCTCCAATCCCCATTGTGAAATCTACTGAACCTTTATTCTTTCCCCTTCCTGTTATTGTGGATTATCTTCCCCATATTAGAGAAAACATTTGACCTTTGGCTTTTGGGGATGGGCTTATTTCACTTACGATAGTCTCCAGATCCATCCATTTACTGGCAAATATCATAAAGTCATTTTTCTTTCTCACACTTGGCAGTTTCTAAAATTAAAACACTGAATACAAAATACTCATTTCAAAAACTTCAAAAGAAGCAATCCAAACACTTTTATGAAAATTATTGCCTTACCTTATTGATACACAACATAATCTCTCATACACAGCTTTGTCCTCCTTGCCAATCTTCACTTGAGCCCCATCCTGCACTCATTGTACTCTCCCCATTTTAACTCTTGTCTTCTATCCCTTCCCATACTTTCTTTCTTTTTTCTTTTTCTTCTTTTTTGTTCCATCTTCAAATTCAATTTAGTCTACAGTTGTTAACATGTGATCTTTAGAGCTTGTTCTGTATTACTTGTTGCACACGTTCCTCCTGGGTTAATAGAGTTATAGAGGTCATTTTTAACTGCATATATAATGTGTGTTGTTATATGGGTGACCCTTATGCTACCACTGTTACTTCTGGCATCGTTCCTTTCAAAGAGGAATTGGAAGTTGAAATTAACATTTTGATTATGCTGATGTGATGTGTTGATGCTAGGCTATCCCCCCAGCACAGGGCTTATTATAAAGAGTTAACTACACTAAAGGACTCCTATTACCAGGGGAACAAATGTCAGGCTGGGGGACAAACCCAGGTTGCAACATGTCCTGACTCAGAAATATTCAGAGTCAAATTGGTAGGAAAACTGGTTTTATTCAAAGCCAGCTTTGAAGGAAGATAGAAGAAACTGACTGCTTCTTTGAACTCTTTAAAGGCCAGCAAAGATCTTAAAGGATGAGTTGAAATGGGTCAGGAGTCTGAACAGGGGGGTATGACTGAATGTAGGAAGGCCATATTCAAGATTGCAGAGTGGGGCTGGGTTGTGGCTCAGCAGTACAGTGCTTGCCTAGCACACAGGAGGCCCTGGGTTCGATCCTCAGCACCACATAAAAATACGTAAATAAAATGGAGGTATTGTGTCCAACTACAACTAAAAAAATAAATATTTTCTAAAAAAAGAGTGCAGAGTGTATAAGAATTGTAGAGAATGGGTTATCTAGCCCTATGTACAATTCTTGGAAATCCCCTGGGACTAAGACTCCCAGCAGAGATCAGCATTTATCTGGCCTTAGGTGTGTGTGATCTAATCTCTCCAAAGCAGTTACTATTATAGAGCTTGGGCCTTCCAAGGACTGCTGCAACATGAAGACCCCCCCTTCAAACCAAATTCTTGTGATCAAGTTAGTAAGATTTCAAATATGTAAGTCAGAGTAAGCGGAATGACATTATTGAAGGGATCGGAAAAGGGGACACTCTTAAGGTAGAGAGTTGGTCCTCTGACACAGGAAAGGGACAACATGACTGTTCTGAACTCCAGTTTTATTGGGTATCCCAGAGAAGTTTCTAGCAAATCCTATCCTGGTCCATCACTTGATGATTGATGGGCAGCACATGATATCAGACTTCGAAGTTCCCACTGCCATGACAATTCCAAGTCACCTTGGCCCATGCTGACCAGTTCTGATTGGATTCTTTTTTTTAAAAAAATATTTACTTGTTCTAATTTGTTATACATGACAGCAAAATGATTTTCAATTCATAGTACACATATGAAGCACAATTTTCATTTCTCTGGTTTTACACAAAATAGCCTCACATCATTCATGTTTTCATAAATGTACCTAAGGTAATGATGACCATCTCATTCCACAATCTTTCCTACCTCCATACCTCCCCCTTCCCCTTCTTCCCTTTGCCATATGCAAAGTTCCTCCATTTCTCCCATGCTCCCCCTGATCCTCATTATGGATCAGCATCCACTTATCAGAGAAAACATTTAACCTTTGGTTTTCTTGGATTGGCTAAATTCACTTAGTATGATATTCTCCAATTCCATCCATTAACCTGCAAATGCCATGATTTTATTCTCTTTTAATGCTGAGTAATATTCAATTATATATACACCAGTATCTTTATTCTTTCATCTATTGAAGGGCATCTAGGTTGACTCTACAATTTAGCTACTGTGAATTGTGCTACTATAAACATTGTTGTGGGTGTGTCACTGTAGTATGCTGTTTTTAAATTCTTTGAGTACATTCCAAGTTTTCTCAAAAATCTCCATACTGCTTTCCAGATTGGTTGCATCTATTTGCAGTCCCATCAGCAATGTATGGATGTGTCTTTTTCCCCACATCCTCACCAACATTTATTGTTGCTTTTATTCTTAATAACTGTTATTATGACTGGAGTGAGATGAAATCTTAGAGTAGTTTTGATTTGCATTTCTGATTGCTAGAGGTGTTGAACATTTTTTCATATACTTTATAGATTGATTGTATATCATCTTCTGAGAAGTATCTGTTCAGTTCTAATTCTTTAGTCCATTTATTGATTGGGTTATTTGCTGCTTTGCTTTTTTTTGAGTTCTTTATATATTCTGGAGATTAGTGCTCTATCTGATGTCCATGTGGTAAAAATTTGATCCCATTCTGTAGGCTCTCTATTCACTTCACTGATTTTTTTTTGCTGAGAAGTAGCTTTTCAGTTTGAATCCATACCATTTACTGATTCTTGTTTTTATTTCTTGTGCTTTAGGAGTCTTGCTAGGGAAGTTAGAGCCTAATACAACATGATGAAGATTTGGGCCTATACTGGTATATACTCGATCAGGTCCAGGGTCTCTGGTCTATTTTCTAGGTCCTTGATCCACTTTGCATTGAGTTTTGCACATGGTGGGTGATAGGGGCTTAATTTCATTTTGCTGCATATGGATTTCCAGTTTTCACAGCATAATTTGTTAAAGAGGCTATACTTTCTCCAATACATGTTTTTGGTGCCTTTCACTAGTATGAGATATTGTATTTATGTGGGTTTGTCTTTGTGTCCACTATTCTGTATCA